GCTATCCTCACACCTTATGAGACATAAAGTAATTCATACTGGGGAGAAACCCTACAAATGTGAAGAGTGTGGCAAAGATTTTAACAATCCCTCAACCCTTAAGACACATAAGCTAATTCATACTAGGGAGAAATTGTACAAATGTGAAGAATGTGGTAAAGCTTTTAACAATTTCTCAGCCCTTCTGAAACATAAAATAATTCATACCGGGGAGAAACCCTACAAATGTGAAGAATGTGGTAAAGCTTTTAAGTGGTCCTCAAAACTTACTGAACATAAAGTAATTCATACTGGTGAGAAACTCTGCAAATGTGAAGAATGTGGTAAAGCTTTTAAGCATTTTTCAGCCCTTAGAAAACATAAGATAATTCATACTGGAAAGAAACCCTACAAATGTGAAGAATGTGGCAAAGCTTTTAACAATTCCTCAACCCTTAGGAAACATAAGATAATTCATACTGGAGAGAAACCCTACAAATGTGAAGAATGTGGCAAAGCTTTTAACAATTCCTCAAACTTTATGAAACATAAGATAATTCATACTGGGGAGAAACCCTACAAATGTGAAGAATGTGGCAAAGCTTTTAACAATTCCTCAACCCTTATGAGACATAAGATAATTCATACTGGGGAGAAACCCTACAAATGTGAAGAATGTGGCAAAGCTTTTAACAATTCCTCAACCCTTATGAGACATAAGATAATTCATAAGATAATTCATACTGGGGAGAAACCCTACAAATGTGAAGAATGTGGCAAAGCTTTTAACAATCTCTCAACCCTTAGGAGACATAAGAGAATTCATACTGGCAAGAAACCCTACAAATGTGAAGAATGTGGCAAAGCTTTTAACAATTTCTCAACCCTTACTAAACATAATTCATTCTGTAGAGAAACCCTACAAATGTGAAGAATGTGGGAAAGCATTTAACCAGTCGTCACACCTTACTAGACACAAAACAATTCATACTGGAGAGAAACACTACAAATGTGAAGAATGTGGCAAAGCTTTTATTCAATGCTCATACCTTACTAGACATAAAACAATTCATATTGAAGAGAAACCCTACAAAGGTGAAAGTACCAAAGCTTTTAAGGAATCCTCACCCCTTACTAGACAAAATAATAATGGAGAGAAACCCTACAAATGTGAAGAATGTGGCAAAGCTTTTAACCATCCTTCAACCCTTGCTAAACATAAGCTAATTCATACTAGGGAGAAACCCTAAAAATGTGAATTATGTGGCAGAGCTTTCAACCATTTTACAAACCTTAATACACATAAGATAATTTATACTAGAGAAGACCGTGCATGTGTGAAGAATGTGGCAAACTTTTAACCAGTCCTCAAGCCTTACTAGACATAAAACAATTCATACTGGAGAGAAACCCTACAAATGTAATAATGTGGCAAAACTTTTTTTTATACTTTAAGTTCTAGGGTACACGTGCACAACGTGCAGGTTTGTTACAAAGGTATACATGTGCCATGTTGGTTTGCTGCACCCGTCAACTCGTCATTTAAATTAGGTATTTCTCCTAACGCTATCCCTCCCCAGCCCCCCACCCACTGACAGGCCCCAGTGTGTGATATTCCCCGCCTTGTGTCCAAGTGTTCTCATTGTTTAGTTTCCACCTATGAGTGAGAACATGTGGTTTAGTTTTCTGTTTTTATGATAGTTTGCTGAGAATGATGGTTTCCAGCTTCATCCATGTCCGTCCAAAGTACGTGAACTTACCCTTTTTTATGGCTACATTGTATTCCATGGTGTATATGTGGAATGTGGCAAAACTTTTAACCAATCCTCAAACCTTACTAGACAGAAAACCATTCATACTGAAGAGAAACCCATCAAATATGAAGAATGTGGAAAAGCCTTTAACCAGTCCTCACACCTTAAATATACATAATTGATACTGGAGGAAAACCCTACAAATATAATAAATGTGGCATAGCTTCTAACCATTGCTCAGCTCTTACTCAAACTGAGAGAATTCCTAAAGAAAATAAACTCCACAAATGTGAATAATATGGCAAAGCTTTTAACCGGTCCTCAAATCTTACCAAACATAAGATAATTCATACGGAAGAGGAACCCTTCAAATGTGAGGAATGTGGCAAAGCTTTTAGTCAGTCCTCAAATCTTACTGAACATAAGATAATTCATACTAGAGACAAACACTGCAAATGTGAAGAATGGGCAAAACTTTTAACCAGTTCTCAAACCTTACTCAATTTATACTGGAGAGGAACGCCACAAATGCAAAGAATTTGGCAAAACTTAAGTGTTTCTCAGAACTTACTGAACACAAAATAATTGCTACTAGAGAGATACTTTACAAATGTGAAGGATGTGGTAAAGCTTCTAATGGGTTCTCAAATCTTACTGAATATAAGATAATTTATATTAGAGAGAAACCCTACAAATGTGAAGAACGTGGCAAAGCTTTTAACTGGTCCTTAAACCTTACTGAACTTAAGATAATTAATACTGAAGAGAAAACCTATAAATACAAAAAATGTGACAAAGCTTTTAACTGGTTTTCAGACCTTACTGAACATAAGATAGTTTATACTGAAGACAAACTCTATAAATGTGAAGAATGTGACAGTGCTTTTAATCAATTCTCAAACTTTACTAGACATAAGGAAATTCATACCGGAGAAAAACTCTACAAATGTGAAGAAAGTGGGAACACTTTTAGCCAGTCCTCAACTCTTACTAAACAAGATAATTCAATGGGAGAGAAACCCTACAAATGTGAAATGAATAATGTTATAACCATTCTTCAATTCTTAATAAACAATTTATACTGCAGAGGAACTCTGCAAACGTGAAGAATGTTGCAAAGCTTTTAACTGGTCCTCAAACCTTACTGAACATAAGATAATTCATAATGGAAACTAGCCCTACAAATGTGAAGAACGTGGCAAAACCTGTAACCGTTTCTCACACTTTTCCACACATAAGATAATTCATACTGAAGAAAAACCCTACAAATGTGAAGAATGTAACAGAGTCTTTAAGTGATCTTCAACTCTTACTAAGCATAAGATAATTCATACAGAAGATACATTTTATAAATATGAAGAATATGACAAAAGCTTTAAAAACATTTCAACCTTTATTACACGTGAGATAATTTGTGCTGCAGAGAAATTCTACAAATGTGAAGAATGTGGCAAAGTTTTTAATTAGTTATCAAATCATACTAGAGATAAACTACAAATCCAAAAGATATGACAGTGCTCTTGAGAACACCTTAAACTTCTCTAAACATAAACCATAGTGTCAAGAAACCCTAGACGTCAGTAATGTCACAAAGCCTTTAAATGGTAGTCACATTTGATTGCAAGATAATTTATACTGGAGAAAACTCCTTAATGAAGAATGTGGCAAAACATTTAACCAATACACCTTATCACATAGGAAAGCATTTATACTTGAAAAAAAAAGTACACCTATAAAGAATGTGGAAAAGCCATTAATATCTGATCACATCTTAACATCACAGTTTATACTTAATAAAAACATTAAAAATGCAATTACTGTCGGAATATCTTTTAGAAAATACATGTCTTAGTATTTCTTTTGAGGACAAACATTACAAATATAAAGAGGGTTGTAGCACTATATATATATTTTTTTTTGCCTTGACAAACTTATTTTTCTTAACTTCGGTGGATACATAGTGTGTATATATATTTCTGCCATATATGGCATATTTTTGATACCAGGATAAAATATGTAATGATCACATCAGGGTAAATGAGAGATTCACCATCTTCAACATTTATTCTTTGAATTACAAGCAATCCAAATCTACACTTTTAATTATTTTGAAATGTACATTTAAATTGTTGTTTATTATAAGGTCATTTTTGTGGTCATAATAAAAATCATACAGGAATGTAAACAAAAATGTGTTACATATTTTTCTTTGAACATGTGGCCACTATGCCTGTAAACAGACACATATAGACTTTTAGTTTTGATTTACATATGGTTAAATATACACATATATCACTCTAAAGGTATTTAGGTGCAAGAAAATTATGAAGTAAGTGTGTTTGTGTAATTCTGAGTTTGTACCTATTTTCAGAAAAAAATATTAGAACAAAACAAATTATAATAAAGTGACTAATTTACTAGAAAACCAAAAACCTCAAAAATGTGGAAAGCAAATCTATACTCTCTGGTTTGTATTGAATTCATTATTGTAAAATCTTACATCTTATGGTTAAGAATCTCCCCTTGAAATTTCTTTGGTTTTACTTGGCTGGTACTCGTGCTAGACCCATACTTTTCTTCTTTCTTAGATATTTTTTTTGTTTTATAATTTATGAAGTATACATTATGTCATGGATTATAAGAATAATTTTTATGAAGTTTAGTAGTGTACACAAAACGATCTTTAGATGTCATCCCACAATTAGTGTATTAAGTTATATTTTATTTAGTTAGAAGATTCCATTTGTTTCTTTTACTTGGAGAACCCCATATAAGCTCACTTTTACTTACTTATTGTTCCTCTCCATTTTTAAAATTGTCATAAGTTAATTTATTTATTTACTGAGCAAATTTGTTCAGATAAGTACTAGGGAGGGTTCCATAAGTCAAGAGGATGTTTTTGTGTATAAATGCAGCAAGCAAATACGGCAGTGCTTGCTGTGTAGCAGATGCTTCGTGATAAGCCGTAAGTATTTCTTCTGCAGTTAGTTTGTAACTTTAAGTCAGAATGGAAAATATCAATGGAGAAGAAATTACATTGATTCCTCATGTTGAGAGGACATTTTTATTTCCAGGATGCAAAGCTCACTCTTGCTGAATTTAAAGACATATTCTGCTTCTTTATTTTTTAATTATCTTCAGTTTTGTTTGTCTTACGTTCATTTCAAGGATGTATGCATCACAGCTTTTCTCCTTTTTCTGTGTTACAGCTACAGTTTTCTCACTTGTCTTCCTACCATGTTATTTTACATGGTACTTTGTAGGTTCTGCTGAGAAACTTGGTGGGTTTTTGGTTTTTTGGAGACAGAGTCTCGCTCTGTCACCCAGGCTGGAGTGCAGTGGCATGATCTCAGCTCACTGCAACCTCTGCCTCCTGGGTTCAAGCAATTCTCCTGCCTCAGCCTCCGAAGTAGCTGGGACTTACAGGCACGCACCACTATGCCCGGCTAACTTTTGTATTTTTAGTGGAGATGGGGTTTCACCGTATTGGCCAGGCTGGTCTCGAACTCCTGAACTCGTAATCTGCCCGCCTCGGCCTCTCAAAGTGCTGGGATTACAGGTATGAGTCATTGCGCCTGGCCAAAAGTTGGTATTTTTAATGTGCTTAAAAAAATGGTTTTGAGTGGAGAATTTGCTTACCAATATAACTTTGAGATTAGTTAATTAAAGTGAGAGGCATACACTGTCCACATGTGAAAGAATTAAATCAGTTAGCATTGTTTTTCTTTGTTTGTAAAAGAAGAATCTTATTGAATTCTTACATAAAGTGTGGCAAGCATAAAATTTGTTACAAAATATATCTTAGAAATTATAAGAGAGTTGCTGGGCGCAGTGGCTCAAGCCTGTAATCCCAGCACTTTGGGAGGCCGAGACGGGTGGATCACGAGGTCAAGAGATCGAGACCATCCTGGCTAACACGGTGAAACCCCGTCTCTACTAAAAAATACAAAAAACTAGCCGGGTGAGGTGGCAGGTGCCTGTAGTCCCAGCTACTTGGGAGGCTGAGGCAGGAGAATGGCCTAAACCCAGGAGGGGGAGCTTGCAGTGAGCTCAGATCCGGCCACTGCACTCCAGCCTGGGCGGCAGATCGAGACTCCATCTCAAAAAAAAAAATAAATAAATAAATAAAAGAAAAACAACAACAACAAAAAACTTTTAGGGGCGGGGCAAAGATGGCCAACTAGAAGCAGTGGTGATCAGAGGCTCCCACCGAAAAGAACCATAATGGCCTGTGCATCCTGCACTGGCTCCTGAGGTATCC